TCCTTCTCATGTCCTAGCCTTACATTTTCTCAGAAAGAAGTTGTACATGAGGGTTTGATAACTCAGTCTATACCCCTAACTGGCTACAGAAACTCACTAAAAGGCCATAATGTGGATTAAAAGTTACCTTCACTCCAAATATAAACCTTTTTCCAATGAAACAGGTTTGCACTGCTTGAACTAATGCTCTTGTAGTTGACTCTGTGTTTGTTTCTCCTGACAGCTGATTGAAGTCTTGAATATACCTAGGATAAAAACACACAGAAGTATTGGACCAACAGAGGAAGAAGCCTTACATAGCATCTTAGCTGTAGTATAGTGCTAATGAGGAAACATGTTAAGGTAAAGATTTTGTGCTAGCTTCAACTAAACTCAGAATGAAAACAGGAAAACCATTAACCTATGAATTCAATTCTTTAGTTCACCTAACTTGTTAGTGAGATAAAGTAAACAAAACAACCACTCTGAAGTGGTTCAATACACACACCACTTTCAGGTGTTCCCCACGTGGTTGTGATTTTTCTGCCAACACAGGGACTGTGCAATGCTGGTCAAGATGCTGCTATTCCTTACACATCCTTCCTGCCCAGCCTTTACAGCATAATAGTATCCATGTAAGACATGGAAATAACTGCTTTTCACAGATGACAGCAGTACAGCAGTGTAGGGCAGAATGCCTGTCACAAGCATGTTATTAATGCTGCTAATATGCCATAACAAATAATTCATCTTTGAGCCAGTGATAACACAAGGCATCGAGAAATTAACAGACTAGATAAAGAAGCAGGGAATTAATCTAAATATCCCATCCCAGCACTTTCACATTTCAGAAAACCTGAAGCCTATCATGTGGGTGGTCAGGCTCTGAGGACTAACAGACTTTCTTAGAAATCCCTTCTTTCTTCAGGAAAATTTGGTCATACTGCCAAATAGTCACAAGGTGCATTCAAACTGTTAAAAAAGAAAAGCCAGAGGCTCTATCTGGAAAAGCCAACTTACTTAAACAAAGGAAATTCAATCATCTCAAAAAAAGAAGAAAGGACACAAGGAAGAGGCCAAACCAGCCAAGCAGTGAGGCTTACTTAACAGGTAGTTGCTGTCTTGAACAGATAAGTGGAGGATTTCTCCTACTACCTAGAAGTAATCCATCTCAAAACATCAAGATTTCAGGAAGAAACAAACTTCGACACTTTCTCAATGTAATGGGTACCAAGGAAATGCTGGAAGGAAGCACTGTAGCAGTTACTTCCTACTCATCTTCCCACCACCTAGGCTCATTGGAGTTTTTTTAGGCTGAATAACTAGCAGCAGCTATATGGTCAGACAATCTATTCCTTACCTCTGCAGATTCTCTGCGGTGACCCCAAAGAATGGATCTAAGCAACTTCCAAAAACAGTGATGTCAAACAAATCGTTAGTGTCAGCAATCTTTAGGGACAATCTATATCTGTAGCTTGCATCTTTAGCTTCACCTGTGCAGCCACATTTTAGACAGCTGAACCTGACAAAAGACAGCAAATGGATAAAAATGATTGAATATCTGAACTTGTGTTAATCACTGCTGAGGTAAGAATTTATCAGCAGCCGTAAATATTACTACTATACTGTATCAAATATTCCATACAAAACTGTAAGATTCTTTTCTTATTCTTTACTCCTTGAGGCATTAATATTAACAAAGGCTCAGAGCAAGATGTCTGTATTATGACAGAATGCCTCTGGTTTCTTTTAGTGATTTATTAAATGCTAGCCTGTTGTGAAATTGAAGGGACAGCAAGTTTTGAGAGACTGTTGGGGTGCAATTTTGGATTTCCTGCACTCATTTTTCTCACATTTCATTCTGGCTTGTATTTTTCCTCGTGCAGTTTAAGCATAAATACATAGGTTTAAAGAATAATTAGGAAACAGTACTGTTATCTTGTACTTCAGCATTTGAAATAACAGATATCCTTGTTCTACAAAGTCAGCTCCTTCCATTTAGCGCTGACATTCATTGATTTACTGTTCTTCTCTGTGTCAGAGATTTCACCCACACTGCAATTAAAAAAGAAAGCTCATGCCTTTCTGGACATGCACTCAGTGAAGAGTCATACAGGACTACCAGGTGCACTGCACATGTAGAATGAAATGAAAAAATAAAATCAGGGTTTGATTTGGAGGGGCTGGATTTTCACCACTTCGTTTAGTGTTCAGCTAACAGAGATCCTCAAGTTAAAAGAAATCAGTAAAATGATCCCCAGAACAAGCCATACCTCCTGGAATCCAGTATCAACCTAGAAAAGCAGTTTTGACAGGCAGGATAGATGAAGCAGGAATTCTGGATGGAAATCACAGAGGCAGCCAAGAGTCCCTGCACACTATTCATGTGCTCAGCGTCACCTGAAACAAGTAAGTTGAAATGGTTAGAACAGTTCTCATGAGATGTTAATATTAACTGCTTTCAGTTGGGTTATTTTAACATTTTGAACAGCAGTGTTCAGGAAATTATAGTCTCTGTTTGAAAATAGAAATTCTTTTAATTAAATATTTAAAAAAATTAAAAAATTATAAAGTTATGCAATATGAAGTAACTGTTCATGGCATTTGCACACCATTGCACACAGATTATGCCAATTCTCACTTGCATTTAGGGATCTTAGAATTATCCTAGGGCACAGTAGTGCAGTAAATAGCTTTTAAATTATATTCCTTAATTTACAGTGAAGTCACAACATGGGGTTAAACACTGAATTGTAATTCTGCAATTGTTTCAACACCAATAACTTGGAGAGGTTACTCAGAAAACCTTGAAAAAGGCTCACAACAGCAACTATATTTGTTCCTATATCATGCTCTTTGAGCTAAAACAGCAGCTCCTGGTCAAACAGAGGTGTACAGATTTGACAAATAAATTATTAACTAAGCATTTAAATAAATAGGAATTAATTTATTTTTACTCAGTATTACTTTCCAGCAGATTTATTTTGGCTTTATTACACTATACTGCCCAAAACATCAAGCTTTAGGAAACTTCCCCTATTTCAGACAACTATTTTTTTCACCACATGTTAAAAAAATGTAGACAACAATCATAAAGTCCTGGCATGGTTTGGGCTTGAAGGGACCTTAAACATCACCTAGTTCCAGCCCCAGTGCCATGGGCAGAGACACCTTCTACTAGACCAAGCCACTTGGAGCCTCATCCAATGCCTCAGATCACAGAGTTCCAACTGAAATTACCAAAATGCTCTCAACAGCTGAATCAAATGGCTCCTTAAAAGTCTGCATTTGCAATAGCTTATCTTTAGCTGTAGCTAAATATAAATCTGTCTTTGATATAAACTGGAGAATAGGAAGGGAATTCCGCATCTTCATCCCAAAACTCTCTCTAAGAGGCAACACAGAGATAGAGGAGACTCAAGTATGGCTTTTACAGGTTAAAAATACCCCACATTCTATAATCAACAATGATCTTTTTTTCATATTTTGCCACCAGAAGGTTAAACTTACAGGCTGTTCTTTTGCCCTTTGGAACACCTTTCTCAGCATCCTGGTAAAAACAAGATCTTTAACACTGAGTACTAGAAAAACGTGAGTGACTAAACTTATTGCTCTGAGTAGTTCAGATGAGAGAAAAAAAAAAAAAAAATTACAGTATTCCCTACATCTGGAAAATGGAGGTAGGGAAAGGGAAAAGCTGTAATAGGGGGCCAAACAAAATAAGTAAAAAAACATCTCTTCATAACACACAAATTAATAGAAACTAATTTGATTCAATATATTGAATGGTCAATATACCTTCAACTCTTACCAAAAGGAAACTATTTTGTTTTAGTTACAAAGATTTATTTTTCTATGTAAAAAAGGAGTAATAAAGTTAAGTCTGGTATTTTTATTGCCCAAAAAGGTGGGCTTGGAGAAACTAGCAGGTCCTTCCTTCTCACCTGTTTTCAACTCTGAACTCTATAAACGGAGTTTACAGTTTTTGTTACCTGTACTTTCTTACGAGGCATTAAAAAGCACACAACTGAAACAAAAAAAAAGGAAAAAAAAACCCAAACAAAACCCCACAAACGCACACCCCAGAAAACAGAGAATACCGCAAGTGCTGAATTGAAATACGGGGGATAAAGAGCACAGCGTGTAAGTGCTCACACAGGTTCTGTCAAGAGCAAACAGCCTCAAGATCTCCACCTCTATTTCCCTTTCGAAGAAACACACAACTCGCTACCGGGGCGCAGACTGAAGGCGGTCGGCAGGAATAGATCTGTTTCACTTGGACTTTTTGTAAAAAAACAAACATCCCAAACCTCAGCGCCGGCGGGGAATCCCACAGCCGCCCTCCGGGCGCGGCTCCCAGCGCGGCTCCGGGTGATCCCGCCGCCTCGCTCTGTCCCTGAGGAACACCAAAGCACGGGTCGCTAACACATCTCGCTCCCGTTGGCGCCCCGCAGCCTCCCCGAGGCCGACAGCGAGCGGCGGGTCCGGTTCGGCCCGCCCGGGCCGGGCCGGGGGTGCAGCGGGGCTCGGCGCTCCCGGGGGCTGAGGGCACAGCGGAAGGGCGGAAGTGCGGCTGCGGCGGGGGCGGGGCTCGGCGGCGCTCAGCCAATCGCGACGCGCTCCGAGTGGAGAGCGGCTTCTGTCGCCCAATCACAAAGCGAGAACGTCGCACCCCCGCACGGCGTGGAGAGCCGAGACGGGCGGCTCACGTGCTTGGGGCAGCCAATCGCTGCCTCTCCGTTATTACCTGAGGGAGCCGCCTCGGCCAACCGCGAAGGCGCGCGCGAGCTAACCGCCGACCGGCAGCCAATCGGAAGGCGCCGCTGGTTGGGGCCCGCCCCTGCACGTGTGGGTCGGCCCCGCCCCCAGGGCAGCCCCGGGAGCCGGGCCCGCATAAAGCGGCGGGGCGGGCGCCGCTCCCGCTCCTGTCACTCTTCCCGCTCTTCCCGCTCTTCCCGTTCTTCCCGTGGTGATGCTGCGGTTCCTCCTGCTCCTGCCGCTGCTCGGCGCGGCCGGCGCCCTGCCCGCCCCGCTCCGCCGCCACCGGCGCGCCGCGCTGCCTGTCGGCCCCTACCTGACGCGCTACCTGAGCCAGCAGGTGGGAGCCGGCTGCGGAGGGAGGGATGGAGTTTCCTTGGGGAGCTGGGGGCACTTTCGCTGTCATTAGCCTCACTCGAGCCTCGGGCGGGACGCGACCCTTCGCAGGCTTTTCAATAAACACTGGACGGCGGCTGTCTCGGGTGAAGCGTCCCACGCCGTGAGGATCCCGGTGTTTGACGTGCCGGGCTCCGCGGCGCTGCAGTCCGCGCTCCCGCACACGCCGCTGCGCCACCATCGTTCCTGCAAACAGCGCTTGCCTGGAATCTTGTTTGTTTAATCACAGGATGGTTTGCGTCGGGAGGGACCCTAAAGATCCGTCTAATTCAGCCTTCCCCCCAGACATGGGCAGGGATGCTTTTCCCCTGGATGGTGATGCTCTTTTGGGTTTTACCTTTTATTTTTTTCTTTTATACATTCTATGTATTCTTCGCACACGTATTTGTAGCTCTGTAGCCTGTTGTATTAGCGGATAGTTTTCCCAGTAATTCTCCATGGCCTTTCCCTAGGCAAAAAGACAAAACAAATTACAGAGCTCCCAGCCCCAGGAGGCACAAGGCCCCTCTCCTATCTTGGTTCTTCCTGGGAGCCAAGGTTGAGAACAGCTCTTAGAGATACATGGACAAAGTACAGCCAGTACTCCAGAGTCGGGGCTTGACCTGGGGGGGAAATTGTGTCACCGCTTGTCCTCCTAATTGGTGCTTTTTATCAACTATAAAAATGTACTCAGCCCTGTACAAGGCTTTTGTGGACATCTTTTCATAGCTGCCTCTGAAAGCCTTCCATTAAGATCCACTTTTAAATTGCCTCCTTAGTAAAATTGTCTTGAGTTTCATTTCTACATTAGAAAAAAAGGCAAAAAATGAAACATGGGACAGATTTCTATTACTAACTTGAGCGTTGTCATCCTATCTCCTCCAGCAATTTGTTGGTGAAATCCATGGCACGTGGATAGAATAGAGGGCTCTGCAGTGTCTTTAAGTGTTGGTGTGGTTTTTTTGAATCAGATTTGAAACCCACCTTGTTCATAGGTTTTCATAAAAACAGTCAAAAGTTCCTTGGGTGTGTTGAGCAGTGTCTGCATCGTCCCCTGTTCTGTACTTGGGTTTCCTAGGGGAGGCATAGTAAGGGAGGAGGTTTTCCCAGTACTCTCTTGGTTTGTTCAGAATCAGGCTTGTATCATGCATCTGAATTTCATGTCCTGGTCTGCATAGGGAGTGGTAGGAAGAAGGTGCTTAATTTACAGGCATAGAGTAGTTTAGGTTGGAAAAGACCTTTCAGATCATCTATTAACTCAGTACTGCCAAATGCACCACTAAACAATGTCCCCCAGTGCCATGTTTGCACCTCTTCTAAGAACTTCCAGGGTTGTTGATTTGACCACTTCTCTGGGAAGCCAGTTCCAATGCTTAATAACTTTGTCAGTGAGGTTTTTTTTTTTTTTTTTTTAATATCCTATCTAAATATCTCGGTGCAACTTATGGCTGGAAATCTTGGATGATATGTGGATTGACTATCTCCTGTTTCAGCTTTGTACAAGGTGAAGTGGTAGTGAGCAAAATGGGAAGATTACACTGACAGAGAGAACAGATGTCAAAAAAACAGATAATGTTTGTAAGATTATACTGAATAGCTATGGAATAATTTTAGGGTCAAGGTCCCTGTTGTTTGAGGTGGAAGATGGATTTGGAATGATTTTAGTGTGAAATCCATCCACTGAGATTACAATCTTCTGCAGATAGTGTTAATGGTTTGGGAATTCTCCTGTTCCAGGGATCTCCCTGCATAAATCATGGATTTCCCATGTCTCAACATCTCTGCCCCATGTTCACTTGGGTAATGATTTGAGATATTTGTCCCTGCATTAACTCCTCTAAGAGCCTTGTATTGTGAGCATACTGCAGATAGCTTCTGCAGTGTGTGGCCAGCGCTGGCCAGGATATCACTCCTGCAGTAGTGGTGTAATTAACACTAATTGTTGAGGCACACTGGTTGTTGCACATTGCTATCATAGTATCAGTGATACTAATTCTGCACTGTGGTCTGAGCCACCCTTTGTCACTATCTGTTACACTTCTGTCCTCATCTCCCGGGGCTGTGGTGTCACCTGGCTTTTCTCCTCAGCTCTGGCACTGACAGCCCAGCTGCCAGCAAAGTGGCAGAACTGCGGTGTGGCTGAGACCTGTGGATTTTGGGACATAGGTGTTGAGAGACAGGAGGGAAGAGTCACAGTAAGAACCTATTGCAAATATTGATGCCACATCTCGTTCACCCTTCTGTCTCTTCCTCTCATGCTTCAAGCAAAATCATGTTGGCTGAGAGTGGCTGCTGCAGAAAAGAAGAAGCCCATTGACTGGCCTGGAAATCCTTTCTTTTCTTGTTCAAAAGCCTTACTAATATTGTTGAACAGAGTGTAGAGGTGTGTTCATCAAAGATTTGAATTCTGCTGCATGGCACTTGAAAGATAGAGGGGTAGCATGAGAGGTCTAATCACACAGAGAGCATAGGACACACTCTCAGTAGCACAGTGTGTAGAACTGATAGCATTCAGCCCTGATAAAACATGCACTCAGTGCTGTTTTCTGAGAATTTATAATTGCATTATTATTCTGTAGTGCAACATAAAAGCTATGATTAGCATGTTAAATAACGTGCGGTGATACTTTGCCACCTCTCAGGATTGTTGAAGTTTAATTACATACATTTTATTTCTTATGTCATGAATTATCTGCTTTTGTTCTTTGCTGTCAAGCCTTTCTTCTTAGCTAAGGTTCCTGTTTTGATTCTTGTTTCTCTCTTTGGTGGTTTTCATCACAAATTGAAATAATTTATCTAAAATCATTCAATATAAAAAAATACTTCCAAAGATGGCAAAAGACTGTGCTGTCAGAAAGGAAACAGTTTTATACCTATTAAAAATACATAGAGTCTTTAAATACTTAATACTTCTACAGAAGAAAACTTTGAAAGTGTAAATAGATTCCTTACATTATTTGTTTCCTAAAAAGTTACTTCTTGAAGACTGTGAATAATTTTTTACTGCTGCACATTGGAACCTCTGGGTATGACAGTCTATAGATATGTAACATTGTTTGAAGGTCTAGTGTCAACTTCTCCTGTGAATCAATGACATTTAAGTCTTTTCATAAAAATGGGGAAATAACAGGGTCAGAGTTAAGCTCAATGCTCATTTGCATTAAACTTCCTCCTGTTTACCACTTTGTGTCAGACATCTGTGATGATGGGGCTAAAGTCTAGAATATTGAGAAATCAGTCAGGCAGTGCCTGTGTCAGTGTGACTAACATCTTAGCTTGTTTGTTGACCTGTGTTATGTATTTAATAACTTTTATTATTTTGTCTTGGAGATATGATTTTTTTTCCTCTCCCTTCAAAAGTAACTGATGTCTTTCAGCCCTCTACTCCGCCTTTGTGTGAGTGAAATTACCCCAGTAAAAAGGTACCTCATGCAGACCTAGGAGAGGAGATGGCCCTTGAAGGAGAAACTCTGCCATCAGCCACATCTTCAACGAATTTTGCCTGTTTAGGGGGTGGTTATCTCCTTTATAACTTTTCTGATGTATTAATGTGACTTTTGTAGGCAAGTCTGTGGTAATTTGGTTGCCTGCTACCCAGTTGGTTGTGATTTGTAGGTTAAATTAATCCATACAAAATGAAACTTTACAGAGAATAATGTATAGAATGTATAGAGCTGTATTAGGACCACCACTGTTGGGATGCCTTCTTTGTAAGCAGCTGGGTCTGTGACCACAGTTCAAATTCATTGGAATGACTTGGTGAGGATCCATCTAGTTCTCTTTACCCAAGCAGAAATAACCTCACTGAGGAGGCTCTGGAGTCAGTTCTGGCCTTTGGGGAGCCTTGTCTTGTACCTTTATATCTGTCTTTGGCAAACATACCAGTGTTAAAAAAAACACAGCCTGAGGACTTGTGGTGTTTTATGTGCAGCACTGCTGAGACTATGATGCCTTAAGATTCCTGATATTTGAAGGCTTCTCATGGATGAGCTCCTCTTAGGAAGGAGAGTGGATGTGGTGTCTCTTCACTCAAGTTGATAATTGATGGTTGTGTGGGACTCTGTGCTGGGGAGCCCTTCACCTCAATCACTGCTTGAGAACAGCTATGGATTTGTCTAAGAACCAATGTAACAAGTACAGATTCATTTTTGTTCAGCAATTTATTGGGCCTGGTCTTTCAATCAGATTGTCTTTTGAACTAATACATGCCAGTTGTGTCACCCCTTCCAAAAGAAGGATTCTGATTACATTTCATAACTTCCTAGCTTTCACACCTATGTTAGTATCTCATAATAAATTCACATGCAAGTCTTTGTGCTCTGAAATGCATCCACACTTCATATTGTGTGTATATAGAAGGAAGATATGTTGAAGCTTTAAAGTGATTAAGTTTAAAAAGTAATGCAATTTGATCCTTTCTG